ATGCAAGGCAAGCACTCTACCACTGAGCCACCTTCCCAGCCCAGTACCACTCTTTTTTGATCCACTCATCTAGGAAACAAGTCACCTTATCACATTATGAGAAGCAATGGCCATGAAAAAAAGGCAGGAGGGCGGGGGTGCATATAAACTCAAGCGAATCCCAGGCAGGTTAGATGAGGGAAAAGGAAGCATGGGAAATTGCAGCCAGGAATCAGAGAGAAGCACTGAATCACTGAGTAGCTCTATTAGAAACACACAGGCACTATATATTTTCTTTGCTTAAAGCATTATGTCCTCTCCTAAGATACATTATTAGTAAAGAAAGGAGAAAATAAAGGAAAAAGAGCAGCCCTATCCCTCTGAACTTGCTTCCTTGCCAAAAATAGTGTGCTCTGGAAACTAAGGATATGTGAAAGAAAGACAGAAACTGGGGGAAAAAAACATTCAGAAATAGAACTTTTCTGGACATAAGATATTTTTAAAAAATTATCTATAGATGGACACCTGTCTTGAAAGGAAGGTGTTTGAAGGGATTCCCAGATATCAATGACGAAAGTGAAATGAGCAGACCAACCTTTTCAAGTCCAGCCCCAATTGATAAAACAGTAACAGCAAGACTGAGAGGATGTACCAGGCATGGGAACCAAGGGAAATATTCATCCTCCAGTGAACCTAAGAAATCCCCCACCCTACTATTAATAGATGTGATGTTAACTACTCATCCAACCTGCTATTCAATGTGCCACACCCACATTTGGATATGTACTATCTATCTTTCCTTCACTTTGCTTTACCAAGAAACTTTCTTGATCTTTACCTTGTTGTGTCCTCAAGTAGTTTTTTAAAACAATATCAAGAACTCAGTACCCAATGGCCAGGCAGAGGCCTTTTCCCTTTTAGAGACCTCCTCCCAGAAGTGGTGCCTGTTAGCAATCTGGCATCAAAATGCGCAGAAAGACAAACAGTGCCAGGTGCTGATGGCTCATGCCTGTAGTCCTAGCAACTCCAGAGGCTGAGATCTGAGGATTGCCATTCAAAAATCTCTAATGAACCATCAAAAAGCCAGAAGTGGAGCTGTGGCTCAAGGGATTGAGCATTGGCCTTGAGTCAGAAAAGCTAAGTGACAGTGCCTAGGACAGGCCTGATTTCAAGCATCAATCTCCCCTAACAGAAATAACAATAGCAACAACAACAACAAAACAAAAAGTGCAAGTGCACTTTTTGCAAAAAGTGCAAGTTTTCACTCACAGATGAAGGTAAAAAATATTTATTGCATAGAAATAGAGAGTAAAAGAGCAGTTACTAGGGGGCAGGAAGGAGAGAGGGGAGGAAAAGTGAGTGGGTAACAATGGGCACCAAAGTGCAGCTAGGGTAACTATTGTCTGTAACAATTATGCTTTCAAATCACTTAATAAGAAAAGTGTGATGGTCCTCATCAAAGAGGAATAATAACATATGAGGAGATGGGATTGTTAATCACCCTAATTTTTATCATTATTAAATATGTACATGTATCGAATTGTAATGGTGTGTCCCATGAACTTGTATTAACAAGTATTACGTATCAATTAAAAAATAAACATTTTAAGCTGGGTACTGGTGACTAATGCTTGTAATCCTAGCTACTCAGGAGACTGAGAACTGAGAATCAGGGTTCAAAGCCAGCCTGAGCAGGAAAGTCCTTGGGACTCCTGTTTCCAATTACCCACCAAAAAAAGCAGAACAATGGCTCAAGTGGTAGAATTCTAGTCTTGAGCAAAAGAGCTCAGGGACAGCACCCAGGCCCTTAGTTCAAGCTTCAGGACCAGCACAAAAATCAATCAATCAATCAAAATCAATCAATCCAATGTCAACATCACCCCAAACCTTGAAGA